AAATGTGTCAACAGAACTTCTAAAATTAAAAAATATGTAAGTGTATAGTAGCTGTTGACGCAATTTCTTTAAGTACCCTCTTAAATCAGCTCACTCAGTGCCATTCGAATGACGTATTTTCCAAACAGTAGTTTTACGGTTTTTGAAGAAATTTCGTTGCAACTATTCACAAACAAACTTGGATAAACATCTTATCTCTTCCACTAAAAAATCGTTTTCATACTTCAGATGGTTTTAGCGAAAATGCTTTGAAGTCTCTCGAGTAACACATAAAACAATTTGTTACGACGTCGTTATTGAAATTTTTTCGAACTGTTGAAGTCGAATACAAGTATAAAGTCAGGGATTTGACATAATAAAAAACAGCCAGAATCGATAATCTATTTTAGGGTTTCCGTTTGACGTCGCTTTTAATATGGGAAGGTGTTAGTAATGGTAAAACGAGAAATAGAATTGAATTAATTATACATAAATTTGATCAAGGTGCTTCCACTAACGAAAGTGGAGAAGTTTAAACTTATTTAAATACCTCTATTAGGTTCTTAACAGCTTTATATGAGATATATTATTTATGCTATATTATTTAAAAAATTACGAGAAACTGTGGAAACTTTTCCATTGCTCGTGTCACTGTCCTTTTTGAACTTTTTCTTTGCAAAAGCACAGTGAGATAACCTCCTGTTTCATTATTATCATTATTTGGGGTAGAATGGGGTGAAAGATCACGGAATTTAAGCTTACCGTAAAGTTAATTAGAGGGTTTCCTCATCGTCTAATTGGAAGCTTGCTTCTCTGCAGTCACAGTCAATTGCAGAAATTTGGCATTATGTAACAAATGATTTTGTTGAAAACGGATCCAGTGACCATCGAGAATGTAAATGACCAAAAGTCAATTAGTCATAGCACTATTTTATGAACCTAACTATATATTTCACTAATTACTGTAAGTTCGATTTTATTCCATCAAATAAACACAACACAAACAACCACACAAAGCCAGATAGTTTTTCGCAATCTTGAGTAAAAACATTTTGCTGGTACTTAGCATTGCCTCCGATATCCGAATTTTCTAGTACACTTGTAATCAAGGTTAGTCATAGAGAGCTCGTGCTGAATACTAAAGCTGAATATGGAAGCATTTTCAATATAATAGTTATCTCGATATAGGCTTCAACCACAACCGAGGATTTACAGTTTAAACTGAATTTACCAATTGCAATTTATAACTTGGCAACGGCCAGCCACCTGTTCAGTTGCACCTGAAAAAAGCCCTAAATAATAAACCGGATTTTCCATTTTTCCATAAAATCGTGAACAATACAAAAAAACGTGGGTTAAAGTTATTTAGACAAACCTTTCCACGTACCTGAAGTTAAACATTCAAACAAATTTAATGTCTTCGAAAAAAAATTTCGACAAAGATGGAATTCGAACCCATCCGCGCAGGGTTCAAGTTGCTCAATTTCATTAATCACTCGACTACTCGTTTCGTACGTGAGCGAAGTGTCGGTTACATGAACCATGTGGCAAATATTGCACACACATTTTTAAAGGTGGTTATGATTAAAAATCAAGGCGAATTCATAAACCACAAGTACAGGAAAAAGTTATTTTAAATAATCTAAATAGTAGTTACAAAGCAAAATATTGACGTGACGCATCAAATTGTTGCTAGGAGTGAGTAAACAAATTTTAGTTAGCGTTTTCGCATCTACACGATGTTCCTAACATACATTTAAAATTTGACAACAATCAGTCCGGTAGTTTCATAGACGACAGACGACAGACAGACAGACGGAAACATGCAGTAGGGGTCATGAAACGTCCAGAAAACATGAAAGTAGCGAATCGCCGAATGGACCCTGTGACATTAAATACTTTCTGAGCGTAAGCTAAAAATAGTATACCTATTATACTCGTTTATTAAGATATACTGTAGCTGCGTTTCACTCGTTGTGCGACAATAAAGCGTCTTATTACTAGACAGCGGATTTCTGTCGGGCTACGTCACGATATAGGTGGGGACGCGCTGCATCGCCGGGACTCAGTAGCGGGTGATAGGTAATCACCGAATTTAATTGTCACTTGATTCCATAAATACAAATAACGATTTATTAATCAAACGGCTAAGTAAATGAGAACTGGAATTAACAGCAGAGTGCAACGAAGCAGCGTTATTCTAATCTCAAATAAACGAAGTGCAGCCGGTAACTGCAATAAATTCCCATCCCGTACGAGCCGTACCGAGTTTGGCCTTGTCTAGCCCGACAGAAATCCGCTCTCTACTTATTACACATGTATAATAATATGAATAATCTCTATGTACGAAGGCTTACACAAAAACAGTTTATGAAGCAAATAACATTGTCACATAAAATACAAGATAAAACTATTTTTTATTACTGCTAAAAACTTAATGTATCTACAATATGTGTCGAAAAAAAGAGAACTGATTCTCATTCTCCCATGTTTCTTATAATTTGAAGGCTGAAAATTTACAATATTTTGATCAATCCTTGTTTAAGTGGTGTTTATTAACAAATACTCCTAATTATTTTTACTGTTCTTACTAAAAAGCGAAAACCAAAAATACTTGATATCTGTTTCTAGCACAACATTCATTTTTGATTCGAAAAACCAAACATTCTAGTAAAATTGATAAAAATATGAATCTCAAAATTTCTTCTTACATATAGGTTAAATACAGCGTTTCTACAAACGATTATAGGGTCGAAGTAGGTCATGAATTCGTGTCGCCTCTCAATTTTGCACTTTACTAAATGGCCGAGGACGCACGACAAATACCACACGCGTCTGTATAACTGGTTCCCCAAATGTTTCATATCTTATTAAAAAATAAAACTAATTTATTACAAGGAACAAATTTATTGCTGTTAAATATCACAGTAAATGTTGAAAATGTTAACCACTTTGTTCAAGGCACATGTTCACTCTCCTTTTAATTTCAAAAATGTTCTGCAATCCTTTCGTCAATACCCATTGTTCAATTTCATGTTGCAATAGGAACTCCTCACTGTTCATGAAATCTTGTCAAAGATGTTTATGGATTCTACTCAAGTCGTCTCAAATCATCTACAACTTCCTCAGATACTGAAAGTCTTCCAGGAGATTTCCCTTTGTTGACACTGCCAGATCGAACAAATGTTTCTTAAATTATTAAATCACGTTTTTTGCTAGATATTCTTGCGTATCGGTTACAGAATACACTGACTCTTCATTTACAAATGTCTCATTGCGATAACAAGACATAACAATGAAAGTGTCTCTTTGAAAACGAGTATTTTGTTGGTTTGAGCTTGGATCAACGAAAATTACTGTAATTCACACATGAAGAACGTTAAAACAATAAAAATGATGATTTTAAATGACAGGTTACAAATGACATTAATGACAAATGAGAACTGTCATGAGGTATATTACTTTCAGCGAAGCGGGATTTTTAAAATCTATGGCCAACTACGCCTTGGAATCATTTATAAAAACCCTATATAGAAAATGCTATTTTATAAAGATTAAGTCCCAATATGATAATTTGATAAAACTTGATTCTTTTTTAGTGTTTTTTTATAGGATAACCCAAAAACTACAAAAACTTTTAAACAAGAAGAATCAAGTCCATTCACTCTTCACAAATCCTCACTCGAGATTTTAAAGTAGTCAGTAGAGTCATTTAGACTAATCTTAAACATCAATCCATTTTGAAGGAAACAACATTGAACATTATCATCAGTTAAATTAATATCATCGTGGTCTCGAAACAAGAGCGATATTTACATAGGCGGGACCCTGGTAACTCTGTTTAAAGCGGTTTTTGCAAGTTTTTGGAACGAAGTTCCTTACGGCAGGCTTGGAGGAGATAGGAATTTTGCTGCACGACCGAACTGAAACAAATGTGATCCTAAAACCGTAACGAAAACTCCGTGGAATAAAACCGTTAAATGATACGTGCGCAGGCGCGACCAGAGGTGGTGCGAGCCGCACTTCAGACGGCGGCCGCCTTACAGGTGTAGGTAAGCAGAGAAAAAATGTTGTGCCTCGGTGGGATTCGAACCCACGTTTCCTTGCTCTCCGGGCAGGTATGCTGACCACTACACCACGAAACGACTTATTTATACTCTGCTTACCGACGTGTTATTGTGCCGCCACACAAGATTGAAGGTCCGCACACGTGCAGCTGCCTTACAAAGACACCGCCAACACGTGGAGACCGCACCGACAAAATATAAAAAATGTCCTAAACACTTTTCGTTCTCTCATCCCTTCTCTCTCTTTTACCACTCCACCCCGCCAATGCATAGTATATACTCATGAATTCATGGACAAGCACGTGGCGAATACGCACATTATAGATACATTTTACTCGTGAGTAGCCACGTTTATTTTCATACAATTTCAAATCGTTAAAACAATAATAAATATAGTAACAATGGCAAAGCAGAGTATCAAAAAGCGTATAGGGAACGCGAAAAAGCTAAAAAAAATGAAAATAAGCAAGAAAGTTACGATATAAAGCAAAGATATCCTCTAAACTAGTGACAATATTTAAAAAGTTTATTGATTATTTTTTTAAATAATTAAAACAAATTCTCCCTTCAATTTCAAACATTTAAATATATATATATTTTGATAATTCTACCTATTTTACGTAATTTATTATTTCCTAAAATACTGAATTTCCTAAATATTTTCCTGCACTTAAATAAAAACTAATCAGCAAAATTTAAGAGAAAAATCAAGAAAACCTACATAAAATTGAGCACGTTTTTTTTTTGCAAATTGTGTCGATTCTACATTAGCCGAAGGAACTTCGTTCCTACCTGGTGTCCCACGACACCACATTTCTTTTTTTATATATATTTTGAAGTTAATAGGAGTTGTAGGAAGGACATATTTCGTATACGAATTCGAATGTGTTTTAACGAAAATGCAACACTAAAATAACTATTTCAAGATTATATAATAACTATTTATTTGTTTGAATCATGACATTTAAATAAAAACAAATACTACGAGATACTTATTGGATAAAATTTTGTAACCTGTAAAAATACAACTATTTCCATATATCGTAATTGGAATTTGTGCTTTATCTTTAATCAACCTTTTTATATTGCAGAGAAAACCTCTGATTAGTTCCAGCATGTTTATCATAAATTTCTATCCCAGCCCCTGCAATAAAATTAAATCCTTGTATATCTAACGCTCTACCACTAGCTGAATTTGTTATCGTCTGCTCAAGATGATTATACTGCCACTGCTGACTCGGTCCCCCGCTTTTTCCCTCGGTGAATATTCCCTTACCATTTGTGGCATCACCCTGTACTTGCAAATATCTCCTAACAAACAAAAATGAAAAAAATGGTATCAGCACGTAGATATTTATTTTTTTTACTTACTGGTTACCAACATTCTTTATCAAGAAGTTGCCCGTCTCAGTACGCTCAAAGCGCCAAAGCTGAAGTGGACTCCCTGTATATTGTTGGAGTTGCGTGTGGTACTGGCTAGCGTCGAGAACAAGCGAAGATGCAGGGTTCACTATGATGATGGAGTTATAGTTTTCCGGGTACCACTGCGTGTTTTGCTTTACCAAGGTAGAGGGGGTTATGTGTTCGCCGAGGGAGTGGCAAACGAGCGATGAGGAGCAGTCAGTCATGACGAAGTTCTTTTGACACTAGACGAAGCACCCTTGGAATTCACTTGAAATAGAAGAAAACGTATAAGTTAGTTTCTTCTTTGGCAAGAGCGGCAAAACTGTTAGAATTTCCGCGAAAATACAAATATTTTGTTGATAGATTCATACGCTACTTATACATGCTGGTAGCAATATTTGGTTGTGGTTAATGTTTGTTGTTCTGTTGTGTTTTTAACATTTGATAAATTTTGCGATTGTGATGTTTGTATTGTGCAAAATTTGTTTTTGTGGTTTTCTTTAAACTTGTTGGAAAACATAGATACAATCTTCCGTTTAAAGTTGAGATATGTCATTAAACGTTAAAGATAAAATAATTTCAAAACAGATAAACATGAAGAAGACGAGAACAAGACCAAATAAGTCTTCAGAAATAAAGGGTTAATATAAATCTTCCCAACATCGGCGCAGGTTGTTAAATATGGCGTCTACATTTCAGGATGTATTTATTTTATTTAAAGACTGATTCATCTGTTTAAGTGATGACATATAAACAAGCCGCACTTTTTATTAGAGTAGGGAAAGGTCCTTGTAATTATTACAATGGGCAACATAATTTGAAATTGCATCATCCATAATAGTCGATGATGTTATTGGGAACTTACCTATTCCCGGAATTTATCCCAAACCCCGACGCTCTTGCACATTATTTACCTTCTGTCCTTACCTATCCGAGGAATTATTTACTTTATACTTTTTACTTCCCGAGCGTAAGCTAAGGAAGTATTGTAATCGAGTCCGTCGGCCGACTCTCTACTTTTACGTTTTCTCGATCTTTCATGACCCCTAGAAGACGAAGAAATAGGTCTCCCATTTCCGTCTGTCTGTCCGTCCGTCTGTCCGTCTGTTGTCCCGGATTTTTATTAGACAGATAATCTCCGAAAGTACCCGACCGATTGTTGTGAAATTTTGTACTTATATTAAGAATATCATGTAGATGGTAAAACGCTAACCAAAATTTGTCTAATCATCCCCACCACTAATGCGATGACGTCACTTCAAAATTGTACATAGTAAATGGGTTTTCAATTGTATAAAATAACATAGTCCTACACATGTAGTTTACAACTCTGAATCGACTTTTCACCCGAAACGTCCAGATTTTTGGAAAAAAAATCAAAATTATAAAACAACATTTTGAAACTTAATTTTTAATCTGCTAACCAGAATGCTTCGAAATGTTGCAGATGTTTTAAGGCTATAAAGAGCATCATAAATCTTTAGTCAAAAAATATTTGCTTATCCCCTCCAAAAACTTAATGACGTCATCTCAAAAGTTTGTGGAATAAATCATATCTAAAATGTACAAAATATGATGAGCCTGTACTTGTCATTTATCACTCCATTCATATTTTTTGGATTTGCATATACAGAGTGACTCAAAAAAATTAATGAATGCGTAAATATATTTTATTGATTTAATCAGGAACTACAAAACGGAATGCTCTGACATCTTGCAGATGTTTTAAGGTTATAAAGGGCATAATAAATGTTTAGTCAAAATATATTTGCTTATCCCCTCCAAAAACTTGATGACGTCAGCTCGAAAATTTGCCGAATAAATCATATCTAAAATGTACAAAATATGATCAGTCTGTACTTGTGATCTATCACTCCATTCATATTTTTTGGATTTGCATATACAGGGTGATTCAAGAAAATAAATGAAAGCGTAAATTTATTTTACTGATTTACTCAGGAACTACAAAACCGAATGCTTCGAAATCTTGAAGACATTTTAAAATTATCATAAGCATGGTAAATTTTTGTTCAAAATGTATTTGTTCATCCCTCCTAAAAAAATTGATGACGTCACCCTTAAATTTTGCTGAATAAATCCTATCTAAAATGCAAAAAATATGATGAGTTTGTACTTGTGATTTATCATTCCATTCATATTTTTTAGATTTTCTTAAGAGGTGGTTCAAAAAAATTAATGAAGTCAATTTATTTTATTGATTAAATTAAAGGCAACACTTATTATTAGTATTACACCCCAACCAACCCAATTTGGTAGACACAAAATTTGTTAAAGGAAAAACTCGGTTGAAACATAAGGGTAGCACGCTTATTTACATCGACTTTAACATTACAGACCTGCATTTGTTTTATGCGTTCACTTGATTCCGCGAATGTGAAATAGAATGTTTATAATCAACCAATTGTGAATTTCACCGTCAAGAATTAAAATAAAACCCAATGTTTTATATAATAAGCGGAAGTCGAAGCAATAAAACCGACGGTCGTTTTGTTTACAGTTTCTCTGTTTGGCTCTCATGTATGCTGTTACGCCTGTCATCTTAAATTAAGAATGTTTATACATACACGATTTTCAGTTGCCTCTGATACGTAGGTATACGTGAGTAAATTGTTTCGTTATTTTATTGATTATTACAAATCAATATTCAAACAACCCAATTCATTTTCCCAAAAATTTGAGAATATAATAATTTTATTCTTAGTATTACACTACATCTATCCCAACTGATATACGTGTCCTTGCAAAAATGTTGATGACGTCATCGCAATTTTTTTTTAAATTCCCACTACAAAAATGTAATGAGAAAAAAAACACAATAGGCATGCAGTCGTCAAGTTTCCGACAGCGAGGGAAGTACTGTCTAAACTCTTTAGACCAATTTTTTTTAATTCATTTTAAACAATTTAATCGCCCAGTTAGTGAGACGTGAATATGCGACATTCAACGAAGATCACGGGTATTAAAAGCACTTTCATTTAACGATAATAAAAGGAGCAAATAAAAGAAAAATCGGAGAGTTTTTTAAGTTACCTAACTGAAATAAATTAGAGTGTCGACGTGATGAGGAAATGAAGATCTTAGATCAAAAGAAGGTTTCTAAAGCCAGCAACAATGGGAGTATCACGTCGATTGAAAGTTCTAAGGGAGCATTTAAAACATTTTCGCCAATCTTTCCCCCTATTTTTCTAAAAAAAGCAAAAATGAAAGCGTAAACTCTTCCATTTCTGTCCTATTTATCTCGCTAACGAGGTCGAATACGTATTATCGCACCGTTAATTATATATCTTCCTGCAGTGCACATCATTCCACGTTAAATGCAATCACCGCTATGCACTTTTTAAGACTTCAATTTTATGCCCAGTTTCCTTCAGGCTTAATTAATTCCGTACAATGGCGTTTTCACGGTTCTCTAGCTAGTTCGTTTGCATGTTCATGGATACATAAACTCTCCGATTGGAGGCTTTTGAAAAAATTGTTCGGATTGGATTGTTCTAATCAAGCTAAATTGAAACTTTCGACCACCTGCCAGGATTCCATCGGAAACGATTCCTCACTTTGCCATTACAACCCCTTCAGGCTTTAATATTTATAAGGGTCAGCTCAGACCGTCTTGTTAATCACTACTATTTCCGGTACAAATCGCTCAAACCGCATCAGTCGCATTTAATTCATCAAACGTATATAAGTCCTGTCATCATGCTGGTCTATTCGAAATTGCTCAGGGTTAATTTAATTCGGGAAATGCTATTTTGTAAAGTTTCGGTTGCCTTATATAGGAAATAATTCACCGTGAGATTGTTGGATCTCCTCCAAGTCTCCGACTGGTCTCACATTTCCCATTATAAACGACAAGATGACCAGAATGTAAAATATAACCTGTCATTAAGTGGTTTAATGTGACCGAAAAGTACAAAAAAATAGCTTTTTCAAGATAGATGACACACAGGGAAGGAGAGCAGAATGGGGAACATATTCGTTTTTTGTGCTGTGTTCCTATTAAATATGTAAAGTATTTTTAGTGTGGGTTGTTTTTATTTCCAGGGATGAAGTCAACTGATACTTTAAACTAACATTTTAAATGCATTAAATGGGCATTCTAAAATAGTACAGTAAAGATCAAATGGATCTGTTCACTAATTAAACCGTAAGATTTGTATTATGCCTCACTGTAACCTCAAATCTGTCGGATTAGTAAGAGATAACAGAGAATTAAGAATTAATTTAACCGTTTGCTACAAACGCGAACCGTCTTTAGCCTGTTTTTCACTTTTTGTACACAGGATTTAGATCTCAGGTAGCAATATTTAACAGAAGCAGGGACCAAAGAAATTTTAAAATTTTCCAGCTTTTGTTACAAATAAGATCAGTCCTTCCTTGAAGTAGATTTTGCTTGGCCAAAAGTAATTACTAAAATTCTAAGTAAATAAGACCATGGTGACGTCATCTCAAAATTTTGCTTAATAATCTCATTTCATATTACAATACGCTACTTTATTTATTGTTTAACAATATACCAATATTTTTATCTTTAAAGGATAGTTTAAATTTATAAAATGCGATATGCGAAATCTTGCACACTGTACTGGTGGAACATTCACTTTGAATGTAAGGGATTTCGGGTTCGATCCCCGGCATCCCCAATTTATTTTAACTCAGTTTTCTGGAATTCTGCAACACAGTGCCCTTGTTAAATTATTATTACACTGTACATCTCCAAATTAATATATTTGTCCCCACGAAAAAGTGTTTTACTCAGTTTGTACAGTGTTAAGAACAATCTAGATTTTTTTATTTATACTGACCACTTTGGAGCCTTATTAGTTTACCAAAACAACAGTATTTAATTCAGAGGAAAACAAGAAAAAAACGGTATCATTATAACTTTCGCAATATCCATGACACAAATTTCTCCAATATTCTTAACGTTAAAAGGAAACAAACCTCTCACTTAATATAACTGATAATTGTGCTTAAGCAATTATTATTTATTGGTGTAAACTTTCTATTAACATAGTTTTAACAATAAATAATTAATTTAATCACGTACATAGGGTTACGAAGTTTAAAATAAATTATAAACTACAAATCGGGTAGTAATCCTTTATCTATAGATCGTAACCAAAATTGCTTGCCATTTACAACTTCGCTTTCAATTTAACGCACCTGTAAAATGTAATTATTAAGCATACACCCTTAACGCATGAAACGTAACGAATTTTGCTTTCAATGCGAGAAATAGTGTTTTCGAGGGTTAATTACAAATTTATCTGGTTCG